ATAAACTCACTAATAATAACCAATAACTTACTAGTAATAAACCAATAACTCACTAATTATAAACCAATAACTCACTAATAATAAATCAATAACTGACTAATTATAAACCAATACCTCACTTATAATAAACCATTAACTCACTAATAATAAACCAATAACTTACTAGCAATAAACCAATAACTCAATAATAATAAACCAATAACTCACTAACAATAAACCAATAACTCACTAATAATAAACCAATAACTTACTAGCAATAAACCAATAACTCAATAATAATAAACCATTAACTCACTAATAATAAACCAACAACTAAGCTCACTAATAATAACCAATAACTTACTAGCAATAAACCAATAACTCACTAATTATGAACCAATAACTCACTAATTGTAAAACAATAACTCACTAATTATGAACCAATAACTTACTATATATGAACCAACAATGAAAAAATATCACTATGTTTGCTGACTTCGCAATATGCATGATCAGAAACTCTAAATCTGTCCTTCCTGCAAACTCTGTAAAAATAAATCCATGAATGGAAATATCAAGGAAAGGAAAATATAACTCAGCATAACTTGGAGCATTACTATTCTTAACAAATATGAATGTTTTATAATTAAAAAAAAAGTTATTGAAAAATAATTTTCATGTTGGTTAATATCAAAATGAAGATTAAAAACTGTGCATAAAATTTTTGGCTTATAAGAATGAATTGAGCTTATTATGAAATCTGAAGAAAAAAAACATGGACGTTCTGGAATAAAAATCAGGAGCTCTATCTCGAGTCTAAACGTTCAAGCCTTATTTCAGTCTCAAAAGCAGCTTGTTCTTGAGACTAGTTTTTCTGCAATTATTTAAGTCGCAGCCTCCCAGTTCAAAATAAGTATATGTTTAAGCTTAATAATCCTGATCTTTACATTGAAGAAAATTATTCATAATACTACTGAGACCGGGCTGGCTTTGAAGTGTCGTTATGCCTTTGATTAAACCATGCTAACCTACTTTTTTCTTTGCAGATATGATAATTTCCAGCCGCAAAATGCTTGTTTCAGGTTTGAAGGAGTATTTGGAAAAATCCTGATAGATTTCGCGCCAAAAGTATGAATATTTTACGGGACTGAGGGTAGAAATTTTTGTTGGTGGGGTTGGGGAGAGAACTGGGATAGACATTCTTACATGTTGTGGGGTGGAGGGGGGGAGAGTTCATGGATATATTTGATTGTCATGGGTTGTAAACCTTGAGTTCACACTTATCTGTCAACTGTAGATCCTGTAACATATATAAAATATAAATAGAAATATTGAAAATATATTGAAAGTAAATATTAGAGAATAGAGGAATAGAAAGGTGGAGAGTTGCCAGGGAATTGGTGAGTGTAAAAGTTGGGATACGAGGAGGAGTATGTAGGTTGTGGGTTGGGTTCAGGGTTTATAGGGAATAGGAGAGAGTAAAGGTTGGGATAGGAGAAGTATGTAAGTGGTGTGCTGGTTTCAGGGTTAGTAGGGAATAGGAGAGAGTAAAAGGTTGGGATAGGAGAAGAAGTATGTAGGTTGTGGGTAGGGTTCAGGGTTTATAGGAAATAGGAGTGTAAAAGTTGGGACAGGAGTAGAAGTATGTAGGACGTTGATGGTGGGTTGGGTTCAGGGTTGGTAGGGAATAGGAGAAAGTAAAGGTTGAGATATGAGGAGCTAGGAGCATGTAGGATGAAGGAAGGTTTACAGAAGATAGAAAAGGAAAAGGTTGGTTTAAAGAAGATAGAAAAGGAAAAGGTTGACCAAACCAAGAATTATATATTGGGTCTAGGTGAAAACAGAGAGAGGAGGGATAGAGCATAAATCTTAGATGGACTAGGAATGAGAAAAAAGGAGAAAAAACGCAAGGATTATAGTTTTTCTTCATGGTTCAGACAGGAATGTGATTTGAATCCATGCATGAGATAAAATGTGCCGGAGAACCCCAAATATCCCAACTTAAGTATAAATGTATGAGCCAGGTATAGAATTATAAAAATTAAATACATAAATTTCACGATGAAGCTGATTCATTTGTTCCGCGCCGGGATAATTTTATTCTAGTGTTTTATTTTCATGCTAGGATTCGGAACCCACAGCATACATATATATATATATATATATATATATATAAACATATTCAAACCACCAGGATAGGGAGGGTTTATATTATGATTTAACACCAGATAATAAATAACTCTTTATGTATGGAGATTTTTCCCATCTTAAAACCTAGAATAAGCTGAAAAGTGTTTTAAACTAATCTGTAGAAATAGAAAAAAAAGATTTCGGAAGAAAAGATATTTATGCAAGACAGAAAAAATCTAAATAATTTTAGTTATCTCCGTCCTGATCCAGATTGTCCCATATCTCCGAATTACTCCAATTAACCTCTTCCTATCTCCGGCTATCACTTTTATAACTCCGCTAAACCTCTTACTGTCTCCGGGTTTCACTTTTCAAACTCTGGTTAACCCTTCATATCTCCGGATATCACTTTTATAACTCCGTTAAACCTCTTATTATCTCCGGCTAGCACTTTTCAAACTCTGGTTAACCTCTTCCTAGCTCCGGATAACACTTTTTTAACTCCGGTTAACTTCTTCCTTCCTACGGAAAGAACTTTTCAAACTCTGGTTAACCTCTTCCTATCTCCGACTAAACCTTGTCTAACTCCTATTAACCTCTTCCTATCTCTGGGTATCACTTTTCAAACTCTGGTTAACCTCTTTCCTATCTCCGGATAGCACTTTTCAAACTCTGGTTAACCTCTTCCTATCTCCGTGTATCACTTTTCATACTTTTAAATTCTTGAAAATCCGTGAATTTTTTTTAAAAATACGCAAAATTTTGATTCTTCTTTGTTTTTTAATGTAAACAGAAATAGCATGTTAACAATTTAAATAGAAGATGGGCGCGAAGCGCCCCAAAAGCCTAGACAGAAGGGCGCGAAGCACCTTGAATTTCTAGTACAATTTACATGACGTAGAATACATACACTATACACTATACAGCTAGATTAACTAGATATATGTTTTATGTAAATACAATATACATAATGTAGAATACATACACTATACACTAAACAGCTAGATTAACTATATACAATATTAACTAGATATTTGTATTTTGTAAATACAATATACATGGTGTAGTATACAAACATACACTTTACACTATACAGTATGTATTTTGTATATACAATATACATGGTGTAGTTTACAAACATACACTTTATACTATACAGTATGTATTTTGTATATGCAATATACATGGTGTAGTATACAAACATACACTTTACACTATACAGTAAGTATTTTGTATATGCAATATACATGGTGTAGTATACAAACTACTATACAGATAGATTAACTAAAGAAATGTTGAACTGGGATAAATCTCCTTGTATAAAGTATATAGGGAGTGTCTGTAAAGGGATTGATGGGATTAGGAATATTTTAGCCAATGTAGATTTAAGGATTAAAGAGAGAGGATTGTGAGTGCAGCTGAAATATAGGGATAACAATAAGAAGAGAGAAAACATTAAAAGATAAGAAAAAAAAATATTTTCTATTATTCATAAAATATTTTTCTTCAGAGAGTAGTGAGAGATTTAAAACCATAAAAATGCTTTTTTAAGTCAAATTTAGAACAATGGTTGATTGGTTTTTTTTTATATTTTAGACTAAAACTTTACTGGCAATAAAAGTTCAAAAATCCTTTATTTCAGTGATTTTTCTAATACAAAATCATACATACTTGGGATTCAGGGTCGTAATTTATGTATCATCCTGTTTGAAGAGTGTTAAGTACAGTAATAATCAAAAAACAGCGGACAGATTGTCGTCTTCGTTTTTTGGAATAAAAGTTTGGAAACGTGTTTTTGAATTTGCAAATTTTTTAGACGAATTATATTTGCACATCCCCCAACCCACGAGTTAGTACAGACAGGGCACAAAGGGGAAATAGGGGAAGGAGGGGGCAGGAGGGAATAGTAGGGGATAAAACTCTAGTAAGCTTAACCAACTATAAGGGAGGTTCGTAATAATATAAAGGACGGATGGTTGGACTTTACAATTTATTCCCCGGGATGAAAAGCAATTTCGTCAGTAGCCTCAGCTGGTTCTATCCCCCCTGATATATTGAATATTAAACCTATGTATAATCTATACTCTAAGATCCTTGATTTCTCCAGGGACCTGGATACCCTTAACACAGTTCCTCTCACGATTAATCTCTTAATAAATATACACAAACAATTGTATTAAAGATCTGCACTACAAAGACTCGTCTCATCTTTCTCATACAATTAGTCTCAGCATTGGAACATGTTCATTAACGATAAACAAATATTATTCTCTTCTACATTATAATACTACAATACAAACAAACAAAAAATATTTATAATTCAACCAAATCTAAATTTTCTTTAAGTAAAAAGAATTTAAAAATAAATGAAATGTGAAAACCTTGTGAAAATTATTTATTTTTATTAATCTGTTTATTTTAGTTTAAAACTAAGAATATTGAACCCTTAAAGCATTCTTCATTTTAAGATAAATTTCAACAAAGAAAGATATCTTCCAAAATGNCTAAGATGAGATCAGGATGAAGTAAAAAGATACAATCCAACCATGAATTAGGAGTTCTCAGTCTAGAGATATCCTTCCATCCTTCCATCCATAGTAAATCCCAGAACATTAAAGTATTTTTTAAGTTTAAAATTTTTCTTTATGATTTTTTTAAATATCATTAATAGAATTATATTCTTCTTTTGGTTTTTTTAAAGCAACTTAAAGCAAATTAAAAAAAGTTTTAATTAAAATTCCACATGACTACCACAACAATATTAAAATTCCACATGACTACCACAACAATATTAAAATTCCACATGACTACCACAACAATATTAAAATTCCACATGACTACCACAACAATATGAAAATTTAAATCTAAAAAATATATTTTTGATGACCAGTATGGTGTGGATGGTACTTTATTCCTTAATCAAAGTAGCTGCTGCAGATTTGAGCTCGGTCGGAGATTTTGACGCTGTCGGAGATTATAACTCTGATGGAGATTTAAACGATATCGGAGATATCAGCTCTGTGGGAGATTTTAACGTGTTCGACGATTTAACTGCTGCCGGAGACTTTAACTATGTCGGAGATACCGCTGTTGGAGATTTCAACGGTAGTCCTAAACTAGAAAGAGTCGAGGAAACAGAATACATGGAGCCTAGCAAATATATTCGAGTAAAGCATTTTTTAAATTTTTCATTAAATCATTTTTGTGTTATTTTTAGATACCACTGTTTTAAAGATAACAATTTGAAAATGAACATTGTAAAAGGTTAAATTATATTAACATAAAGTCAAGCGGCAAAGTAAGGGAAAAATATTCCAAATAAAAAAGATTCCCTAAATATATGGTTAAATAAAAATATTTAATATATTCCGACTTTTTTGTTCAAACCCAACCCAGCTTTCACGCTCATTCTTTAGAAAGAAGAGGAATTAGTCGCAGAGATTCGTTTCAGAGAAGATCTTCTCCGAACCGTCCCTAGACCAGATGTAAGGTTCGCAGGATATATCAACAATTCAACACAAACCCATTAGTCCTGCAGGGTTCAAACCTCAAACCATTATATTTATGTAACAAAGGCTCCGAATACAAGAATATGTTTGAATTGTTTATATACATATGTATGTATATACTAGGGATGTGGATATAAAAGTAAAAAGTTTGCCGGCAGCAGGAACTATTTATATTCTTAATATCTTGTTCTGCCCTAGCAACTAAACTAGAGAATATTGACCAAGTTTAACAAAACTTTGAGGAATAAAGGATTTTATAGGCCAAAGGTAAAAAAGTAGTTGAACTGGGTATGGCTAGCACATAGATTCAGACTGCTCTGAAAAGTTGCATCAATTTTCGACACTTCAAAGTTAGAACTAAATTTCATCGATTTTTACGTCATAGCTTGCAACCTTTAGATCACTGTGCTGGACGTCTAATGTACAAAATCGGCCGCACAAGTTAAGTAGTTCGGCTAAACGTGCCAAGTTCAAATACTTCTCGATATTAATTTCAGACTTCAAGAATATTAATTCCTTAGTCGAGTCTTTATATTTTTGAAATTTAAGCCAAGTTTTCGACAGTTTGATTGTATAGAATGTGACTTATTTCGTTAGTTATGCTAAACTAATTAATGCTTACAAAACCAACTATAAAGTATAAATCTTAAGAATTGGTTAAAAATTTCTAGTTTTCAGTGGCCATTTCATCTTTTTTTTTTCAACCTCCAACTTGCGAAAAGATTAATAAGTAAGCAGTGAATATATGAACCCTGATACCTGGAGAAGGGTTGATATATCTCTATCTGTATACAGGTGTATATATGAACCAATATACCTGGAGAGGGGTTGATATATCTCTATCTGTATACAGGTGTATACGTGTCACGTGAACCCTGATGGGTTGATATATCTATATCTGTATACAGGTGTATATATGAACCAAGATACCTGGAGAGGGGTTGATATATCTCTATCTGTATACAGGTGTATATATGAACCCTGATACCTGGAGAAGGGTTGATATATCTCTACCTGTATATAAAGGTGTATATATGAACCAAGATACCTGGAGAGGGGTTAATATATCTCTATCTGTATACATGTGTATATATGAACCAAGATACCTGGAGAGGGGTTGATAAATCTCTACCTGTATATACAGGTGTATATATGAACCAAGATACCTGGAGAAGGGTTGATATATCTCTACCTGTATATACAGGTGTATATATGAACCCAGATACCTAGAGAGGGGTTGAGATATCTCTACCTGTATATACAGGTGTATATATGAACCCAGATACCTGACGAAGGGGTTGAGATATCTCTACCTGTATATATAGGTGTATATATGAACCCTGATACCTGGAGAGGGGTTGAGATATCTTTACCTGTATAAACAGGTGTATATGTGAACCCTAATACCTGGAGAAGGGTTGATATATCTCTACCTGTATATCCAGGTGTATATACCTGGAGAGGGGTTAATATATCTCTATCTGTATACATGTGTATATATGAACCAAGATACCTGGAGAGGGGTTGATATATCTCTACCTGTATATACAGGTGTATATATGAACCCAGATACCTGACGAAGGGGTTGAGATATCTCTACCTGTATATACAGGTGTATATTTGAACCCTGATATTTGGAGAGGGGTTGAGATATCTCTACCTGTATATACAGGTGTATATGTGAACCCTGATACCTGGAGAAGGGTTGATATATCTCTACCTGTATATCCAGGTGTATATATGAACCCAGATATCTGGAAAATGGGTTGAGATATCTCTACCTTATATACAGGTGTATATGTGAACCCTGATACCTGGAGAGGGGTTGAGAATCTCTACCTGTGTATACAGGTGTATATATTGATCCTGATACCTGGAGAGGGGTTGATATATCTATATCTGTATACAGGTGTATATGTGAACCCTGATACCTGGAGAGGGGTTGATATATCTATATCTGTATACAGGTGTATATGTAAACCCTGATACCTGGAGAGGGGTTGAGATATCTCTACCTGTGTATACAGGTGTATATATGATTCCTGATACCTGGAGAGGGGTTGATATATCTATATCTGTATACAGGTGTATATGTGAACCCTGATACCTGGAGAAGGGTTGATATAACTCTACCTGTATATACAGGAGTATGTATGAACCCTGATACCTGGAGAAGGGTTGATATATCTCTACCTGTGTATACAGGTGTATATGTGAACCCTGATACCTGGAGAAGGGTTGATATATCTATATCTGTATACAGGTGTATATGTGAACCCTGATGCCTGGAGAGGGGTTGATATATCTCTACCAGTATGCAATGACAGTATCCCTCCTAGATGTGTAGCAACAGTCCCACAGTTTCCAGGTTAAAACACCACCCTGTTTTAATCTTTGTTCTACAGGGTGTCCCACATCAAATTAGACTGCGGCAATGGGTCTAAATTACGATTTGGGGGACAAATCAGAAAATTTAAGAAGAATGAATCATTTTAAAAAACTTAATAAGGCTAAAAAAAATTTTTTGGAAGAAAATGCTAGATTTTTCATGTATTATGTGCGTATTTCGGCGTTAAAGATTGAAGATAATCTAATATGATATGGGACGCTCTGTATGTAAAATCTTATTTTCCTTGAAATGTCCCATTTATGAAATGTCCTGTCTACGAAATATTATTTTCCTTGAAATGTCCTGTCTAAAGATCGGCGGTATAGTATAAGTGAACTTTAATCAAATTATGAATTCCTTTGTTCTACTTCAACAGTCAGTGCAGTTACATGTTTTTTTTTCTTCACAGAATGTATATCTGAGGGATATAATTGTATATGAAATTAATTAAAAACACCGAAGATTATTATTTTCAAAACATTTTAAAGCAAAAACATATTCCCAGGATGTTTGGAGGATGAGGATTATCCTGAGACTGCTGTTCAAATTGCTCTTTACAAGGAAACCTTGATGGATAAAAAATATACTGAAGTTCCAGTAGATGGAGATATAGTTGATTACAACTACTCTAGGTATATATATAGTTGATTACAATTACTCTACGTATATATATATGTGATTACAACTACTCTAGGTATTTATATAGTTGATTACAACTACTCTAGGTATATATAGTTGATTACAATTACTCTAGATATATATAGTTGATTACAACTACTCTAGGTAATTATATAGTTGATTACAACTACTCTAGGTATTTATATAGTTGATTACAATTACTCTAGATATATATAGTTGATTACAACTAATCTAAGTATATATATAGTTGATTACAACTGCTCTACGTATATATATATGTGATCACAACTACTCTAGGTATTTATATAGTTGATTACAACTACTCTAGGTATATATTTATATAGTTGATTACAACTACTCTACGTATATATATGTGTGATCACAACTACTCTAGGTATTTATATAGTTGATTACAATTACTCTAGATATATAGTTGATTACAACTACTCTAGGTATTTATATATAGATGATCACAACTACTCTAGGTATTTATATAGTTGATTACAATTACTCTAGGTATTTATATAGTTGATTACAATTACTCTAGATATATAGTTGATTACAACTACTCTAGGTATATATATATATAGTTGATTACAACTACTCTAGGTATATATAGGTGATTACAACTACTCTAGGTATTTATATAGCTGATTACAACTACTCTAGGTATTAATATAGTTGATTACAATTACTCTAGATATATAGTATATATAGTTGATTACAACTACTCTTTGTAATAGACTTAGTTGATGATTAATTGTTAAGTATTTATTTTCTGATATTACAGATACAGCACCTCCTTCAGTATCTCCCACTGGGAGAGTTACCCTGGACAGATCTGTCCCTCCCAGGTAGAAAACCTTCAACCCTTGAGGTTACGGAATACGGAGGGAAAGTGGAGGATAATACTGAACTATGTACAAGGATACAATCAAACTGTAAGGTACATATTATCAGCAAGTTTTATGATTCAATACAAATTAAAACAAAGTTGAAACCAAGAACTGATTGGTCGGTAAAATAGTTACACCTCAGCTTATTTAATTGAGAACATATACATCAAAGTAACAGAATTACCCTGGGATGCCCGTGCCCTTTTTCTGCTCCCGAACCACCACGCACGGTTACACTGACAGGTACCCCTCGGGACTCTCAGTCATCTCTTTCTGTAATATTCGATTCTTATCAAAACCGTTTACCGTAGATTCTCTTGGATTTCAATGCTAAGACGACATTTGATAAAATTTGAGGAAATCTGCGAATACATGTTTAGAAAATAAGGAATTCTAGAAATTGAAGATACAAAATGATAGATTCTCAGATACCATTGATTTTATGGATATTTATTTTTTACGGATAGCAAATTAGTTTAAAGTAGAATTAATTTCATGATTTTCATAATCATTAAACAATCATTAAACAATCATTAAACAATCATTAAACAATCATTAAACAATCATTAAACAATCATTAAACAATTGTAAACATATGAATTGGCCTAGTAGAAATCTTATTAATATTTTTACGCTCTTACGCTCTTAGCATAAATAAATATTTGTATGTATGTATGTTAGCTATAGCTGGCCAAACGGCTGGACCGAATAGACCAAAATTACCTTGGGGGTAACTGTAACATAGGCTAAAAATAATTCAAAAGTTTCTTTCTTTTAAAATCGATTTAAAAAAGATTTAACATTGGAAATCAAAAATTCCACGGGCAACATAGCTAAATTACTACCAAAAACGAATGAATTTTATCTAATCCTAATTCTAATAATTTTTTGTTTGTTTCTGAAAAATTTATTTAATGTAAATTAGTGTTTCTTTAGTCCAGAATAATATATAACATTTCTTGGAATAGAGGAATTTTTAACTAAAATGTTTTATAAGAATCTCTCATCTTTCCTTCCATTGTGCATTAACCCTATTCCCGCTGGGGGGGGGGGGCAATTTGCCCCCCCCCCT